GACCCAGGAGAGGGATTTGAGGGCTACTCAGGGGCAAGGCCAAGGGTTGAGAGCCTGGCAGGTCCAGGCTCTGGGGCAGCTGCAGGCAGTGGGGGCAGAGGGGTGCAATCTTGCTCATCTGCAGATACTGAGGTGTGGGAGGGCAAGAGCATCCACCCCACTGATGTATTTATTTTAATTTTTTTAGAGACAGGATCTAGCTCTGTTGCCTAGGGTAGAGTACAGCGGTACCATCATAGCTCACTCCAGCCTTGAGCTCCTGAGCTCAATTGATCCTCCTAGAAATTTTCTGGGATTATAGGCATGAGCCATTATGTCTGGCTTCCAATGGTGTATTTATTTATTTATTTGAGACAGAGTCTCACTATGTCACCCTCGGTAGAGCGCTGTGGTGTCACAGCTCACAGTAACCTCAAACTCTTGGGCTGAAGTGATTCTCTTGCCTCATCCTCCCAAGTAGCTGGGACTATAGGCATTGGCCACAATACCCGGCTATTTTTCTGTTGCAGTTGTCATTGTTGCTTTAGCTGACCTGGGCCGGATTTGAATGTGCCAGCCTCAGTGTATGTGGCCAGTGCCCTACCCACTGAGCTACGGGCACTGTCCAGCCCCTGTTGTGAAAACAAACATGTACATGGCCCATATATACACAAATCCACATTCACATGCAAGAATTCCTGTATACACACACACTCACAATTGTTGTATACCTACAATGTGTGTCAACAAACAACTACCCCCAGTCCCAAGGACACACTCAGGTCCACATTTCCTCTACAGGTGTGCAGATTTCTAGGAACATGTATCCTCAAAAAAGTGTGTGATTGTACCCAGGCAGTGGGGATATGCACACAGTTCTTTGAATGGACACCTGGAGTAATTAGCCAGTCTCATGGAGACACGCTTGGCTTTGCACTCTTGTGTGTATATGCATACACGCGCACACACAGCCCACCAACCCACATGCACAGACATGCAGTCTTGGTACCTTGGTGCTGGGGCTCTGGGGCCCTGGGGAGGCTGGAGGACTGCCAGGAGGAGGGTCCTTAGTTCTAGGACTCAATGGGGGGGATGCCAGGGACAGACTGAGGGGAGATGCAGAGCCCGAGGTGGAGTGGCCACCCTGGCCCCTGATCTCACTATAGGGATCTATAGTCCCTTCACTAACCAGGAGGCTCACCTAGAGGTGGGTGATGATGGATCCCCAGGACTCCCACCAGAGGATGAGCCTTTCTCTCGGGACAGCTTCCTGAGGGTGGATGCAGGGGATGAGGCGGTGGCAGAAGCAACTGCCCCCAATATCTGCCCACATCACCCTACACATGCCCTAAGACTCACGCACTGAGGCGCTTAGTGAGGCTGATCCGCTGCTGGACACGTGGAGAGCTGGGGCAGGAGGCAGCTGGAGGCTCAATGACACGGGAGACTCGGTAGCTAAAGGGTGGAAGTGGGAATGAGGGTGGGTAAGGAGATGAAGAGATTAGGGTGAGAATCAGTTGGGAGGTGTATTTTAGTTGTAAGTAGGGAACAGTCAGGGGTAGAGCCCTAATGTCAGGGTCAAGGTAGTATATGAGGGTTGTTGAGCCATTGAGTTTTTGGGGGGTGAGACAGAATGGCTAGACAGCAGGTCATACAGGGATTTGAGGTGGGGAGAGAGATAGGAATACAATCAGGTCAAGGTGAAAGTTCAGGGTCAAATTGGGATCAGGTCACCTTTGGGGTCAATAGTTAGAACAAAAGGAAACAATTGGGCTGGTTGAGGTACATGGAGAAATAAACATCAAAGTTGGATTCAGTGACTCGGAACTTAGGGTCAATGGTTGGGATCAGAAAGCCAGATGAGGGGTCACAAATGGGGTCTGGGTAAGACAGAATCAAAGATGAGGAAGAGAACAGATGGGACAGTTGAGTGGAATACCCAGCTAATCAAAGCCAGAAAGTCGGGCGGCCCCTGTGGCTCAAAGGAGTAGGGCACTGGCCCCATATGCCGGAGGTGGCAGGTTCAAACCCAGCCCTGGCCATAAACAGAAAAAAAAAAAAAAAAAAAACCCAGCCAGAAATCACATGCAGTCAAAGTTGGAGGTTACAGGTCAACTGGGCCCTTGATTGGGCTAGAGCTAATGCAAAGTCACAAATTGAGGGGGAGGAAAGCAGGACTCAGTAGAGGGTCCTGAGAAAAACTGGAGATGAGCATGGGATGAGTAAACCCAGTATGTGACTGAGGGTCAGCTGGAATGAGGCTGGGCCGGTCACAGGGGTGTTACCTCTGCTCCTCACTGAGCTGGTGCTGGGCATGCAGGGCGGCCAGGATGGTCGGGCAGGGACTCAAGCTGTAGCTGCGACAGCGCCTCTGCAGCTGCTGGATGCGGGCCAAGATCTCCCACTCCTGGGGGGGTTGCCTCTGAGATCCTGCCCCTGCCCTTTCCCCCCTCAAACCCCTCCACCCTAGAGCACCCACTCACCTTTCTCCTCTTCTCAAAGTTAATAAGATCCCCCTGGAGGCAAAGTTTGTCTGAACTACAGCTTCTAGTATCAAGGGTTAAGGGTCAAGGTCAGGGGTTGGGATGTGGGGAGCCCAGTGTGCTGGGGGCAAGTGGAGCTGAGGTCAGGAGTCAAGGGTCAGGGATCAGACCTCTAACATGTCCGGCAAGGCTGTGTCCAGCATAACCAGGTCCGTGAGGAAGGTGCCAAGGTAGGGGACAGGGCCTGGGGGTGGTTTCTGCAGCCCCCAAAGGTCCGGTCACTGTGTGTCATCATCCTCCACGCCTTACCCTGAGGGTCCCATTTGTTCCATTCCCCAAACCATGTCACTCACTGAGGTTCCTTTGGGGGTGTCCTCCTCTCGGGGTCCCTCACTGGCCTCATCCTGGGGGAAAGAGAAGGGCTGAGCTGGCCTGGGTCACCTTTGGCCCTTTCTCAAGGGAAGATGCCTAGAGACCTGCCATATGCACCCATTAGGCTTTCAGTAATCATAAGCCAGTGGTGATGGCCCAACTAAAAGAGTTGGACCACTCTGGGTGGGAGGGAGACAGGGAAGGAGGAGATAAACAGCATGGGGCGGCCCCATGGGAGCTGGAGTTTGTGGGTGCTGTTCCTGCTGGGCCAGACTTAACACAGGAGAGAACTGTTATACCCACTGGGCATCCTCTGGGAATACCCTGAATTTGTCTTCATATTGTCACTCTGCTGAGTAATTATAAATTCACTGGGCAGTCCTTTGTGTCTCCCCTTTGGAGGTCTGAATACCCCTGGAGCAGGAACTGTGTCTGTCCGACTCATAGTGGAGCATGAATAATGCCCAGCACACAGTAGGGGCTTCAGGCAGAACTCCTTGTTTCTGAGCCCTCATTATTTGAGACATTCCTTCACCAACAAGATGTTTATTAGCCAAGAGCAGTGACTCATGCCTGTAATCTCAGGCCTTTAGGAGCCCGAGGCAGGAGAAGCTTGAGGCCAGGAGTTTAAGACCAGCCTGGGCAACATAGCAAGACCCCATCTCTTAAAAAATGAAAAATATGAGCTCAGGAGTTCAAGACCAGAAAACAGAAAAACTCAAAACAGAAAAACTAACCAGTCATCATGGTGGGTCCCTGTAATCCCAGCTACTTGGGAGGCTGAGGCAAGAGCATATCTTGAGCCCAAGAGTTTGAGGTTGCTATGAGCTATGACACCATGGTGCTATACCAAGAGTGACAGAGTGAGACTCTCTCTAAAAAATAGAGGGTGGCGCCTGTGGTTCAGTGGGTAGGGCGCTGGCCCCATATACCAAGGGTGGTGGGTTCGAACCCAGCCCTGGCCAGCTAAAACAGCAGTGACAACTGCAACAAAAATAGCTGGGTGTTGTGGCAGGTGCCTGTAGTCCCAGCTACTGAGGAGGCTGAGGCAAGAGAATCACCTAAGCTCAAGAGTTGGAGGTTGCTGTGAGCTGTGATGCCACAGCACTTTACCAAGGGTGACAAAGCAAGACTCAAAAATATATATATTAATATTACATATATATATATATATATATATATTTGTATGTGTATATGTATTAGCCTGGCTTGGTGGCACACCAAGCTAATCCTATTAGCTGCTCAGGAGGCTGAAGTAGGAAGATCCCTTGAGTCCAAGAGTTTGAGGCTGCAGTCAGCTATGATTACTACCCTCTAGCCTGGGTGACAGAGCAAGACTCTGTCTTTAAAAGAAATGTTAATATATATATATATATATATATATCTTTAGATCACCTGTTGTATACCACGAGCTATTCTAAGTGCTGGGTAAGTAACAGTGAACAAAAGAGATAAAATTCTAGCCTCATGGTGTGACCAGCAGTGAGGGAGCAATAGCAACAACTAAGGTATACATGTAATATGACAAACAGAGCCATAAGCCTGGAGCCAGAGGGAGGAGTGTGGGGATGATGAGGATGCACGGAGGGACTCTAGGAGGTGGGGGCATTTGGGCAGAGACGTCAAGTTTTGTTTTTGTTTTCAGAGATGAACTCTTGCTCTCTTACCCAGGCTGAAGTGCAGCGGCAGCATCATAACTCAACTGTATCAAACTCCTGGGATCAGGGTATCCTCCTGCCTCAGCCTTCCAAGTAGCTGGGACTATTGAAGCATTCTACCATGAACAACTAATTTTCCTTTTTAATTTTTTTTCTTTCTTTCTTTCTTTCTTTCTTTCTTTCTTTTTTAGCGATAGGGGTCTCACTGTGTTGTCCAAGGTCATCTTGGACTCCTGGTCTCAAATGATCCTCCTGCTTCAGTCTCCCAAAGTGCTAGGGTTACATGCATGAGCCACTGCACCCAGCCACCTGCGGGAGTTCAGTGATCAAGTTGCATACACAGCTTGAGGAGTGGGGAGCTCCTCCTCCACAGCTTGAGGAGTTCTAGGGGAAGGGAATAGCCTCCTTTCCTCCTCCCTTCCAGCTATTCTGCATTTAGGTTAAGAACCAGAACCTGATTGCAATTAGAACCGACTCTTGCCTATTTATAGCCAGACTTGCTGGCACACAGTTTTTAGTTTTGCTTATCAAGGTATAAGCCCCCAGCACAAATTTCTTTTTTTGTCCACTGTGTGCTATGATTCTGGCCTTAAGTAACCTTTTCCTTGTGACTTCTTGTGTTTTGTTGAATGAATAAATAAGGCAGCACTGCGAACTATAATGCAGGAAGAAGAGGAAATTAAAACGTGAGGCTGTCCACGGACAAGGGAAAGGTTATTGCTGAGGTGGAGAGAAAGGACACTGAATGTTTTGACACCAACAAGGCGATTCTCCCTGCCTGGCCCCAAGTCCCCTCTTCCTAGATCTGGAATCTGCTGGGTCTGCATTTGTCTATACCTGGGAAAGAATCTCTCTGCTGCTGAGGTGGTTGTTCTCATCTGAAAAAATCTGGGAAAGTTTCCTGAAAGTGGACAACGGTTCCCTATGGGTGGAGTGGGAGAGATAGTAGAAGAGAGTGTCAGGGGTCAGCAGCTGAGAGGGTCAGAGATGCTGGGGTGGCATGGGGGAGGAGATCCAGGCCGGCTCACCGGCTCACGGCCCCCCAGCTGCGCTTGAGCCGGTAGATGGGGTTAGACTGCAGGGCGGACAGGATGGCTCGTAAGGAGGAGAAGTTCCGCAGCTCTCTGCAGCGCTAGGCGGACAGAGGGGCGCTGGTCAGACCTCGTTTCTGGCCTTTGATCCCATGACTTGGGATGCCAGGACAGACACTGATGTCACCTCACATCTGACAAGCTACGGAGGATTCTCCCTCCTCCCTTGGGTGTCCTCTCCTCTCTTCCTCGGGCCCCAGCTGCCCCTCCAGCCCCTAACTCGACTTTGGCTTCTCCCGTACCGACCAGCTTCTTACTTCTCCCAGGCTTGCCCACAGCATCTGTCCCAGACCCAGAGCGCTCCTCCCTGAACCCAAGTTACCCAGGTGTCAATTTTCTACCCTGTTCCCCTCCTACTCCTGGTCGCGCTTCCATTCTCCCTCTGGAGCCCCCACTTCTTCCTCTTCTTCCAGCTCTGAGGCTCCTGCCCTTCTCTCCCCAGTCTCTTTCGGCTCCAGCCCCAGGTCCTTTCCCTTAGACACCTCCCCCTAGTCCTACCCACCTCTTTTTCCTGGCCCAGTCCCTCCGCCTTCTGTCTACCCAGTGCCTCACAGCGGGGGGCAAGGCTCCGCTCGAGTCGAGGCCCCGCCCCTCAATGCACCTGGGCAATGCGGATCCACTTTTCCAGCCGCTGCGCCCTCTGCGGGGCGGCCAGGCCTGGCTCCCCAAGCACGGAACCCAGCACACAGCCAATGACCTTGTTGAACTGGGCTACCGTGGCGCGCACAGTGGGGGAGACGCCGGCGGCCCCAGGCCGATCTCTCTGGGACCACACGGAGCCCAGGCACTCACAGGGCCTCACCCGCGAAAAGAGCTCCTGGAACAGGGATTGGGTTAATAGAATTGGTGCCCAGTGTGACCTGCCCTCAACCCATTGCACCATATCCTGCCCCAGGCCCGGATCCTCACCACGTCCAAAAGGGTCAGCTGCTCAGCCACCTCATCTACGCTGAAGTCCAGGAGCTCAGGACCATCCTGCACAAGGCCTTCCTCTTCCTCCAGGAAGCCCTCTTGGGAGGCTGGGCCAGAGCTTTGGGCAGCTCTAGGAGGTCCTAGGGGTGAAAAAACTCTCAAGTTTGAATCCAAGACTGGCTGTCTGACCTTGGGCTAGTCTCTTCCGGCCTCTGAGCCTCACTTCCCTGTAAAACAAAGATTTCCCTGGGTGTTTTTGTTTTATTTGTTTATTTATTTATTTTTAGAGACAGAGTCTCACACAACTCACAGCAACCTACAACTCCAGGTCTTAGGTGATTCTCTTCCCTCAGCCTCCCGAGTACCTGGGATTACAGGTGCCCGCCACAACGCCCAGCTATTTTTTGTTGCAGTTTGGCCGAGGCGGATTTGAACCCACCCCCTTAGTATATGGGGCCAGCGCCTACTCACTGAGCCACAGGCACCGCCCACTCTCTCTCTCTCTTTTTTTCTTTGAGACAGAGCCTCACTTTGTCACCCTCAGTAGAGGGCCATGGTGTCATAGCAACCTCAAACTCTTGGGCTCAAGCAATCCTCTTGCTTTAGCATCCCAAGTAACTGGGAGCACAGTTGTCAGCCCAGCTATTTTTAGAGATGAGGTCTACTAGCTCAGGCTGGTCTTGAGCTCCTCAGTTCAGGCAATCCACCTGCCTTGGCTTCCCAGAGTGCTAGGAGTACAGGCGTGAGCCACTGCGCCTGGCCTTGGCCTGGCTAATTTTTTCAATTTTTAGTAGAATTGGGGTCTCACTCTAGCTCAGGCTTGTTTCAAACTCTTGACCTCAGGGATTTTTCCCACCTTGGTCTCCTAGAGTGCTAGGATTACAAGCTTGTGTCACCACACCTGGCCAACTAGATATATTTTAATATTAAGTATTGATGATTTTGGCTCGGCGCCTATGGCTCAAGTGGCTAAAGCCCCAGACATGTACACCCAAGGTGGCAGGTTCAAATCCAGCCCAGGCCCGCCAAACAACAATGATGGCTGCAACCAAAAACTGGCCAGGCGTTGTGGCGGGTGCCTGTAGTCCCAGCTACTTGGGAGGCTGAGGCAGGAGACTTGCTTGAGCCCAGGAGTTGGAGGTTGCTGTGAGCTGTGATGCCATGGCACTCTACCCAGGGGGACAGCTTGAGGCTCTGTCTCAAAAAAAAAAAAGTATTGATGATTTCATTGGAAATAATTATGGCCATGAAGGTTATGTTAAAAAATATCCTTGTCAAATCCTTGTCCGAGGTGCATACCCAAAACATTTATGTATGAAATGACATAAGTCTGAGATTGTTTTATTTTATTAATTTTTTGAGACAGTCTCACTTTGTCACCCTTGGTAGTGTGCCGTGGTGTCATAGCTCACAGCAACCTCAAACTCTTAGGTTCAATCAATCCTTTTGCCTCAGCCTCTCTAGTAGCTGGGACTACAGGTGCCTGGCTTTTTATAGAGACTGGGTCTCAATTTTGCTCCGGCTGGTCTTGAACTCCTGAATTCAGGCAATCCATAGGAATCAACCTCCCCGAGTGCTAGGATTACAAGCATTGTGCCACTGAGCCTGGCCCTTGAGATTTGTTTTAAATTTATCCTGGGCCAGGCATGGTGGCTCAGACCTGGGAGGCTCAGGTGGGAAGATTGCTCTGAGCTCACAGGTTTGAGACCAGCCTGAGCCAGAGCAGGACCCCTTCTCTAAAAATAGCCAGATGTTGTGGCAGACGCCTATAGTCCCAGCAACTTGGGAGGCTGAGGCAAGAGAATCACTTGAGCCCAAGAGTTGGAGGTTGCTGTGAGCTATGATGCATGGCACTCTACCGAGGGTGACAAAGTGAGATTCTGTTTAAAAAAAAAAAAATTATCCTAAACCAGCTAGACTTGGTGGCTTACACCTGTAATTCTAGCACACTGAGAGGCTGAGGTGGAAGGATTTCCTAGACTCAGGAATTCCAGACTGTCTGAGCAAAGGCGAGACCCTGTCTCTACTAAAATTAGAAGGAATTAGTTGGGCATTGTGGTGGACACCTAGATTTCCAGCTGCTCTGGAGGCTGAGGCAGGAGGATTACCCAAACTCAGGAATTTGAGGCTGCTGTGTGGTAGGCTGATGCCAGGGCACTCTAGGCTGGGCAACAGAATAAGATTCTGTCTCTAAATAAATAAATAAATGAACAAATAAAAAAAAAATCAAATCATCCTGAACATTTTTCCTTGTCAAATTAATCATTGTTAAAGATGGGTAACAGGTGTTTGTGTGTTCTTTATACCATTCTCTCTACTTTTGTATACATCTGAATTTTTCTATAGGGAAAAGTAAACCCAAACCAAAGATGTTAAAATGAAGTAGCTGGCAAGGGGGTGTACACCTACAGCCCCAGCTACTTGGGAGGCTGAGATAAGAGAATCACTTGAGCCCAGGAGTTTGAGGCTATAGTGAGCTGTGATCTGGCCACTGTGCTCTAGCCTGGGTGACAGAGCTAGATCCCCTCTCAAAATAAAATACATATGGCAAACATGGTGGCTCATGTCTGTAATCCTAGCACTCTGGGAAGTTGAGGTAGGTGGATTGCTTGGACTCAGGAGTTCAAGGTCAGCCGGAGCAAGAGCAAAACCCCACCCATCTCTACTAAAAATAGAAAAAGCTAGGGGTGGCGTCTGTGGCTCAAAGGAGTAGGGTGCTGGCTCCATATACTGGAGGTGGTGGGTTCAAACCTGGCCCTGGCCAAAAACTGCAAAAAAAAAAAAAAAAAAGAAGAAGGAAAGAAAAAGCTAGCTGAATGTCATTGCTGGCACCTGTAGTCTCAATCTACTCAGGAGGCTGAGGCAAGAGGATTGCTTGAGCCCAAGAGTTTGAGGTTGTATGATGCCATGGCACTCTACCCAGGGAGACAGAGTGAGACTATGTTTCAAACAAACAAACAAACAAATAAGTACAGAGTGTGTCACAGAGCCTGGTACAGAGTAGGTGTTGAATAAATGTTCATTTTCCCCCCTGCCCACAGGGAGGGTAGGGCAGCACTTTTCATAAAATATTCTGCAATGGTGGAAATGTCTCTATCTCTATTGCCCAGTGTGGCTATTGAGCACTTGAAATGTGGTTAGGGGGACTGAAGACCTGAATTTCTATAATATTTTTATTTAATTTAAATTAATTTTTTTTTTGCAGTTTTTTGGCCCGGGCTGGGTTTGAACCCACCACCTCCGGTATATGGGGCCGGTGCCCCACTCCTTTGAGCCACAGGCACCACCTCTAATTTAAATTAATCTTAATAGCCACAGGAGCTAGTGGCTACCACATTGGACTATGAAGCTCTAATGATTTGGAATTAACTGGTGAAACCAAGAAGGCAGGAGAAGCCACTGGAGTGAACAGGAGAGAAGAAAGGGGGATAAAAACATGTAAATAACTGAGACTTTGTCACCAGGGATAGAGAAGTGGCTGCTACTTTGTAAAGCAGAGGGGAATGTAGTCACTTTAATCTGAGGATTAAAGGATAAGGATTAGGGATGAGATGCTTTTGTGATCTGGATCAGATCAAACACAGATGGGTGAAACATGATACTTTATAAGCAGGATACAATCATTCAATTGGCTAATCCATGTTGTTCCTGCCTCTGGAGACAGCTGGGGACAAGACTGACATGCTCCTCTTCTCATGTATTTACAGTCTATGGAGATGAGCAAAAGCCAGGAATCAAGGGAAGAGAAGTCATCAGTGCTATGAAGAAAAATAAGACAGGCTGGACAACATAGTGTTGGAAGAGGTCAGAGAAAACCTCCCCAAGGAGATGACATTTGAACAAAGACATGAATGGGATAGTGGATATTTTTTCCTTACCCCAAAAGCAGTATGTGACAGGGTTGGCAAACTTTTTCTACAAGAGCTGGATAGTTTTCCAGACATACTTTACAAGAAAATGTCTGTACCACTTCTCGTACACATTTTCTAAAATCATATTTTAGGGATGAGGTCTTGCTCTGTCACGTAGGCTGGAGTGCAGTGGCACCATCATAGCTCACTACAGCCTCAAAAGTAGCTAGGACTCCAAGTGAGAGCCACCAGAGCTAGCCACTTCTTGTATACATTTTAAGTAGTAGATACCTAATATGTAAAATTCAGTGATAACAATGATGAAAATACTATTTGCCAAACACTCATTGTTTGTTTACTGATCATGTTTCCTAGGGAATGGGAAACCTCTGTCCATTGTTATGTGCCCAGAACCTGTAGCTGAATATTTGTTGAATCAACAAAGAACCCTGCAAGGTAACCTGAAGCTAAAGAAACTTCAGAGAGGTTAAGTGATTTATCAAAGGTCATACAGTCAAATTGCAGTACTGCAATTTCAACCCAGATCCCTGTAGCAAGTGGTAATGGGATAATTTGTGGCACGAAACACAGGACATTCTGGCCCAATAGAGTAGTATCTTTGTAGTTAGGGAGAGGTAGGGAAATACTTGACAAATTCTTATCCTTCAATAGTCTTCAGACAAAGAATTACCCATTTTACAGGTGGGAAAACTGAGGCTTAGAGTTATAAAAATCTTGTCTGAGAGTAGAGAGAAAGCCCATGGGGGAGGGAGCATGTAGGAAAAGCCTTCTCAGAGGGCTACCAGTGTTGCAAACTCCTTACCTGCCCACACTGGGAGCTGCTCATCTTCCTGCTCTTGTTCAGCCTCCTCCAAAAAGTCTTCCAGAAGCTTCTCTGCCTCTTGGGCTTCAGCACCCCCTGGGGCTGCCCAGCCCAGAAAGGTTCGGACACTGCTCAGGTCAGAGTGAGCAGGTGGGTCTCGGAAATCCAGAGGGTGGTCACGTAGCCAGGAGCCCAGAACAGACACCACAGCCCTGGGCAGAGTGGCAGGGCCTCAGAGCCCTGCCTAGAATGGGGGACCTGGGAACTGACTCTTTCATTACTTGACCTGCAACTCTCAAGTTATTCAACCCTCTAGCCCTCAGGACTGACCACTGACATTTGACCTCTAGGATCCCTCCACTCTCCCACCCCAATGGGGGAGACCAACCTCAGGTTCTTGTTGAAGCTTAGATCTAGTCCCTCTGTTTTCTGGATCTGTACCCTGCAAAGAGGTGCCCCCTCATCAGGTGAAGAAGTGGGCGTTGGGGGATAGAGAGGGATTAGGAGAAAGGCTTAGGGGCAAGGGGATATTTTCTGGTTCCAAGCCTGAAATAATGGGAGGGAGCCCAGGTGGAGTCTAGGGTGGGAACATGGAAGTTTAGGGTCAGTACTGACCCAGGAGGTGGGGGAGGTGGTGTTGGTGGCAGCAGAAAGCCCAGCACCTGGGCGGTGGGCACAAAGGCCTGGTGGGTGGCCAGGAAGGCTGGCATGAAGCTTGGGTCCTGCTCAGGGTCTCCAGACACCAACTCTCCTACCAGCCTCTCCAGCCGCGCTGCCCTCAGTGTCCTCACCTTGCTGGTGCGATAGTGGAGGAAGGTGTCCGCAGTGAGGGTGGTGGTCTGTGTGTATGGGGGTGGAATGGTGGCTGTGAGCTGCCCCCAGCACCTCTACTCCAGCCATGTCCAGCACTGGCACCATGATTTCTTTTTTTTTTTTTCAGTTTTGGCCAGGGCTGGGTTTGAACCCACCACCTTCAGCATATGGGGCTGGTGCCCTACTCCTTTGAGCCACAGGTGCCACCCACGCTGGCACTATTCTTGCATGGGAGTCCTCTAAATCCTGACTGAAGTTTTTATTTCCTCTGCCCACAAATAACTCTGGCAACCTACCCTGGAAAACTTTGTCCTCCCCAGGTTCTGCTCTGTGCCCTCCCTTCACTTGGCCAACCCCCACACTGAGGCTGCTCTCAGCCTTCCAGGTCGCGCTTCACTGGCCGACCGGGCCCTGCCCTCTGCGTCACCTACACTCACCTGGCTGATTTTTTTTTTTTTTTTTTGAGATGGAGCCTCAAGCTATCCCCCTGGGTAGAGTGCCATGGCATCACAGCTCACAGCAACCTCCAACTCCTGGGCTCAAGCGAGTCTCCTGCCTCCGCCTCCTAAGTAGCTGGGACCACAGGTGCCAGACACAACGCCCGGCCATTTTTTTTTTTTTTTTTTGGTTGCAGCCATCATTGTTGTTTGGCGGGCCCGGGCTGGGGATTCGAACCCGCCACCTTAGGTGTATGTGGCTGGTGCCTTAGCTGCTTGAGCCACAGGCTCCGAGCCCACCTGGCTGATTCTAAACCCCACTCCTAACTTATAACTCCAGTCCACTAAACCTGGCTTTCTCTGTCCTGCCTCCAGCTCTGCCCTTGCCTGGTTGTCTTGGGAACTGTGCAGCCATCGCGGGGCCCCACCCCATTCTCTAGATCTACTCCACTTACCTGGCCACCCCCAGGTCCCATTCTACCCTCACCTGGTCGCCTCTGCGTCCCGCCCTTCGTGGGGCCCCCTGCGCCTGGCGGCCCTAGCTTGGTTGTCCAGCTCTGCCTTCACTTGCCTTTAGCCTCACCCTAGCCAGGGTGCCTCCCAACCCTGGCTGCCCTCCAACCCCTTCCTCACCTGGCTGCCCCCAGGTCCCTCTCCTGGGTTTGAGCGCTGACTGCGCTGCCGCCGCAGGGAGACACTGTACACCGCACCGTCCTCGGTCTCCTCGCCCCAGTCCTGCAGTGGCGCCTGGAGGTGGAGGCAGGCTCAGGGGCCACGCGGGGAGAAGTCCTGGGCTCTCAAATCCTTATAAGCCCTCGTGGGCTCTGGCCGTTACTTCCAGCTCCATCCCGCGCCCCCTTCCCATCCAAGACTGAAACTCAGGTCTCAGGCCTGGGTCCCAGGCTAGTCCCTTCCTCAGGCCAGGTACCCTCGTCCCAGGTCCTGAGGAGATGGGGTGGCATTTGGGGATGTCCTAAGGTCTAGTCTCATGGAATATGTCACTGGTCCCTCCCCCAGACATGCTCAGAGACCCCGGCCCCCATCCCTAAGAAGAACCAGCCTCTTCATTGTGTCAATAGCCGTGGGTCCCCAGGAGGTGACTCCAAGGGCAGGGTCCCGCGGAGTTCCTGGACCTGGGTTCACCAGGGATGTCCAGGGTGTTAGGAACCCCTGCTCCCTTACCAGGGCGAGTTCCTTGCCTGCTGTGCGCTCCATGGCACGCACCCGTTCCTTTCTGTGGCGCCGCTGAGTGAGGCGGAAGAGCCGGCGGGTGGCGGGCAGTGGCCAGGTGGTAGGGCTGGCGGGGCGGGGCGGGACGGGGCAGGACTGACCGGGCCCACGGCTTTCTGATACCTCCCGTCCGACCCCAGCGCCCAGGCCAACCCGAGAGCGCTCTGGGCTCTCCCAACAGGTGACTATCAATCCGACCCCAGGGGAGGGGTCTGTTCTTTAGCCGCCCCCCCCCTTCCAATAGGAAGCTAGTGTGTGTAGCTAAGTGGAGGAAGGTCTTCGTTCCTGGTGGAAAGTCCTCTGTCCTCAGGTAGGAAGGGCTAGCCTGCCCCAAGTGTAGGGGTATCTCTCATTCCTCTGGAGGGAAAGGAAGGGGGAACTGTGTCACCATTTGATGGGAGTCCTCACGTCCCAGATTGGAGCCTTGGGTTTTGAGGGATAGCTCTCTCTTGGGCAGTACAGGGTTAAGAAGAGGCGAATACCCAGGGGACTGGTGGGCGACCTTTATTGAGCGATTCCGAGGCCAGCGTGGACTGGCTGGGAGATTTACTGTGGGAACGTCCGGCCTGGCCCCCTCTCTCCTCCGGCGCTGCCGGTCTGCTCTGCTCCAGGTTCAGGCTGCGTTCAGCCCATGAGGGGCCCCGTGGGGGCCACGCTGGGCCCAAAGGGGATGGGGACTCCCAAGGGGGCCTCCAGGTGCCAGGTGAGCGCCAGGGTGAGTCTAGGACCTTCGCGTGCGACTGCGTTTCTTGATTCGGCTTTCAATTAGTTTCTGGGAACGGATCTTGAGTGCTGCACGGTTCACCACCTCGCTGTCCTCATCCTCACTTTCTTCTTCATCTACTGGAAACATGAGGGGGTGGGGATGATGGGCAGGATGTTGGGATACAGGTCCCCATCCCTGGGTCGGATTTCTCTTCTTAGCCTTTATCCCCCAGCCCTCTTGCCCTGAACCAGGTATCAGACCACCCACTGCTCCACTGCCTGGGGCCCCAACCCCCCACCCCCCCATACTGACCAAAGAATTTGTCCTTGGCGCTGACAAGGGGCAGAGCAATGCGGGTGTTGTACTGGGGCAGCTTTCCCTCTAAGGTGGCATAGAACTAGATGAGGGGGGCAGAAGAGTGTGGGAGGGGCAGAGGCCACAAAGAAGTTCCATTCTCCCTCCTCCCCACCCCATTCAGAGATGTCCCCTGACTCCCAAGAGAGACTACTGCCCACGCCTATCCTTCCTTCTCAGCTCTCCCCTCCTGACTCAGGCCCATCTGTAGTCTCTGAGGCCCTGTCAGGCCTCTTGAGACCAAGCCCTGATCCCCCAGCTGCAACCTCTGGTTTTCCAGGTGCTGCCCACAGCTCTTCTGGCTTCTCTCCCTCCCTTGTGTCTCAGGTTTACCCTCAAACTTCACCCATTGTCCTTAAGGCTCCTTTCTGGCTCATCAGCCTCCATCTTGGCCTCCCAAAGGTTGTTGCCTCCACCTCACTGGTTTTTCCACTTGTCCACACCCTCAGCCCCACTCCCTGGCCTCTAGCTGCAGGAGCACCTCTCGGTCTGCAATGTGGCGCAGCATCTCCGGCACATCCTGGCTCTGGAGCTGCCCCTGCAGTGCCAGCAGCTTTTCCTCCACCAGGCCTAGCAGGTTCGGCAGATAGTCACCTGCCTTGGGATCCACCTCCTTTTCTGCCAAGCTGCTCCGCTCCTGCAGAGACCCAGGTGGGGGTCAGCCCAGAGGGTCAGGGCCTCTGTGGTGCTCCACTCAGGCATAGGGCTTTTTTCTTAGGGGTGGGGCATTTGAGGGCCACCCACAGGTGTAGATGCTAGAATCCAGGTCTGGAACTCTGGAGTCAAGGCATACCTGTGAGGGTGGGACCTCTGAATTCAACAGAGATGTGAAAAGAGTGGGGGGGCTCTCTAGGTAGGGGTTGGGTAGTAACTCCTGAGAGGCCATTGTGGGGATGGTTTTTTTTTTTTTTTTTTTGAGACAGAGCCTCAAGCTGTCCCCCTGGGTAGAGTGCCATGGCATTACAGCTCACAGCAACCTCCAACTCCTGGGCTCAAGCGAGTCTCCTGCCTCCGCCTCCCAAGTAGCTGGGACTACAGGCGCCCGCCACAACGCCTAGCTATTTTTTTTGGTTGCAGCCGTCATTGTTGTTTGGCAGGTCCGGGCTAGGGATTCGAACCCGCCACCTTAGGTGTACGTGGCTGGCACCTTAGCAGGTTGAGCTATAGGCGCCGAGCCAGGGATGGTCTTCTAAAACATGTATCTCTGGGTTTGGCACCTGTAGCTTAATGGCCAGGATGCCAGCCACATACACTGGAGCTGGTGGGTTCAAACCCAGCCTGGGCCTGCCAAATAATGATAACTACAACCAAAAAAAAAAAAGAATAAAAAAACTGGGGGTTGTGGTAGGTGCCTGTAGTCCCAGCTACTGGGAAGGCTGAGGCAAGATAATTGCTTAAGCCTAAGAGTTTGAGGGTGCTGTGAGCTGTGACAGCACAGCACTTTACCGAGGATGACATAGTGAGACTGTCTCAAAAAAAAAAAAAAGTGTCTCTGGCACCATTGCTCAGTGGTTAGGGTGCTGGCCACATACACTGTGGCTGGAGGGTTCAAACCTGGCCCAGGCCTGCTAAAATAACAATGACAATTACAACTGAAAAATAGCCAAGTGTTGTAGCAAGCGCCTGTAGTGCCAGCTACTTGGGAGGCTGAGGCAAGAGAATCGCTTAAGCCTAAGAGTTTGAGGTTGCTGTGAGCTGCAATGCCACTGCACTCTACCAAGGGTGACAAAATGAGACTCTGTCTCAAAAAAAAAATTGTATCTCTGCAGAGAGTAGATAGAAAAGAAGCAGCATGCTGAGGTGCAGGAGCAGCTGGATTGTGCCTTGTGGACTATGCAAAAGCCCTCTAATCCATGACTGGAGTTGGGGTCTCCCAGATTTTGTGTTGGGGCTGGGTGGCCCTCTACCATGGGGAATGGTGCTTCAATCTGGGCAGAGTTTCTGAAATCTTTTTTTTTTTCCTTTTCCTGAGAGAGTCTCACTCTGTTGCCTAGGCTAGAGTGCTAACTCACAACAACCTCAAACTCCTGGGTACAAGTGATCCTCCTGCCTTAGCCTCTGGAATAGCAGGGACTACAGGCACGTGCCACTACACCTGGTTAGTTTTTCTTTTTGCAGTTTTGGCTGGGGCTGGGTTTGAACCCTCTACCCCCGGTATATGGGGCAGGCACCCTACTCCTTGAACCACAGGCACTGCCCTTTTTTTTTTCTTTTTTGAGAGAGTCTCTCACTTTGTCACCCTGGGTAGAGTGCCATGGCATCACAGCTCACAGCAACCTCAAATTCTTGGGCTCAAACGATTCTCTTACCTCAGCCTCCCAAGTAGCTGGACTACAGGCACTCACCACAACACCTGGCTATTCATAGAGACGTGGTCCTGCTCTGGCTCAGGCTGGTCTCCAACCTGTGAGCTCCAGTAATCCTTCGGCCTCCTAGAGTGCTAGGATTACAGAGCATGAGCCAAGGGGAGAGGCTCCCCTGCAGGCGGGGCCACTGATGTCCAGGACTGAGGAGGGCTTGGACTGCCTGGGCAGGCCAGTGTGGCAGGAATCTCCTTTATGTGGCTGTGCCTGTTACGTCTTGCGAGGGTCTGGCGGGGGTTCCTCAGGGCTGAGGCCTACCATGGTCACATGGCTCAGTTTGCTAGCCAGGTGCTCCAGACTCTCCTTGGCAGTTTGCATAGCTCGAAAGGCACGATCCAGCTGCTCCTGTGCCTCAGCATGCCGCTTCTTCTCTGTCTTGAGGCGCTCCTCCATCTCAGATTGCAGCTTCTGTTGGCTGTGGGGAGCAGGGAGGTCACCTGCCTGGGGATGGCTGGTGCGCAATGGACCCCTGCACCCTCCACGTGCCCCTCCTGGGGACTCTAGGGCCTCACCTCACCAGCGCTGCCTCCCCAGAGTACTTGAGGTCTTCAAGTTCCCGTTGCAGCCGCAGCTTCTCTTGTTTCAGCTTTACCAGCGTCTGCTCATTCTCCCTCTTGAGCGTCTCCAACTGTGCGAAGGTGTCTCCCTGGGCCAGGAACCGCCGCACCACGGACTGCAGGCCACCCAGACCCCAGTAAGAGCCAAGGCCTAGGGAGGCAGGAGTACACTCCACCTTCTCTCCCCCCATCCCCCAGCACACAGGAAGGTGGTCTAAGCTAGTGGCTTTTACATAGAGATGTATGTAGACTGTGGGCTGGAGTCAGAGCTGCTTCAGGGTGTGCAGTCCCAGTATGCCATTTTTTGCAGGGCCCTTCCTGGTCTATATAAGGAATTTGAGTCAGCCAAAATCAGCATGTGGGTGCAGCAATGGCGCTGAGCACAACTTCTTTCCAAAATCAAAATGCCAGCAACTTCTGGCAGCAAATTTCACCTAGCCTGCCAGGCCCCACTTCTGGAAAAAGGCTGAGCCTGGGTTTTCCTCAGAGATCAGAGTTCCACACTCCTATGAGTGGAGCTCATAGAAGAACAGGGAGTTGGAGAATACCCAAAGGGGAGAAACCAAGCTATGAGGCAGCATTTGTTGGCAAGATCCAGGCATCAGAGAAGGACATGGCCATCTTAGAATATTTCAAGGAAGAGTATAAAGTTAAGGACCCCATTTGCCCAGATCTGAATATGGTACTAGGTCATCTACCATGTCCCAGGCCATCCTGCAGGTGCTAGAGACAAAGAACAAGAGAACTACCAGTTCTCCTAGAACTGACAAGCCCAGGTATCCTCAAACTATGGCCCATGGGCCACATGAGGCCCGCCTAGGACATTTATCCGACCCGCCGGGTGTTTTTGCCACCGCTGCCTGTCCTGCTTAGCAGCCAACTCATTCCTGGGGCCCGCAGTCTGGCCCTCCAGTGGTCTGAGGGACAGTGAACTGGCCCCCTGTTTAAAAAGTTTGAGGACCCCTGGACAAGCCAAATAAGTTAGCCAGGTGTAAGAACAGAAGGTGAAGGAATGACAGCATATGTAGACAAGTGAGGGTTTTGCTATGAAGGGCAGCAGAAGAGCTAGAAAGAGAGAAAGGATATCTCTGCAGAACGCAGTAGGTTTGTGTGCTTAAGAACTGACCCTGCAGAAAGGGGAGGTTGGGTGAATCTTTTTCTCCACCTTGGGCATGGCTGGGGTGTCAGGGCTGCAGGCAACACTCACATGTGTTTCGGCTGTGCCAGTGGCATCCTTGACCTTGCCAAAGATCACCTCCATTTGGTACATGCTCCATCGTCTTTGTAGCTCCTCCTCCCTGGCATGCTGGGTGTCCTGGGTCGCATCCTCGGACTGTACCAGCAGGTGCTCACGCTGGGTCTGCTTATAGGTTGAAGTCAAGGCCAGGGTCAGCTCAAAGACCGTTAGGGCAGAGGCCGGGGAGGGGTATCTAGACAAGGATATAGGAGGGGTAGAGGTGGCCAGAGGGAAGGGCAAAGGCTTGGAGCCAGGGAAAGGTACCTGGTTTGGGACACAGGACAGGGCCTTGGTACCAGCTAGGTGAGGTGCCAAGTAAAGAGGGCCTTAGGTAACAGCTGGGTAGAGGTAGGGTCACATTTAAGACCAGAGTCCTGGCTCGGCGCCTGTGGCTCAAGCGGCTAAGGCGCCAGCGACATACACCTAAGGTGGCGGGTTCGAATCCCCAACCCAGGCCCACCAAACAACAATGATGGCTGCAACCAAAAAAAAAAAAAAAATGG